TGTGTTTTTACCTGATACTGGAGCTGGATGCATGTCCTAACTTTTCCATTTGACCCAATGTCAAGGTCAAAGGTCAAGGTCAAAGTTCAAGGTCATTTGGTGAATTGCTATATTTTACACATATATAAGGGATTTCTTATGTTTTTAAATGATCTTGACCTTTGACCTTGACCCATATTTCAAGATCAAAGGTCAAATATGCCGATGCAGTTGGTCCCATGTCTCTAGGATACACCGTTTTAAAAATAAGTTCATTAAATGTATGTAGCGTAAACTTTCAGGGGCAGTAACTCATACAAGGGACCAAAGAATGCTTTTGCAATGATAGAATGAAGAGAGTACTAAATGAGTCGAAGACACTGATGAAGGTTTGGAATCTCTACGGTTTACGGTTTCGGAGGAGTAGCGATAACAAGGTTTTGTTGCAAAAGGGGTGACAACTTTTGAATGGGTCAAGCTCGGGGGACAAGAATGAAATCTTTGAAATAGTTTTAGAAGGACATATTATAGATGCAAAGAAATTCAGTATATGTTGAAAGACAAAAGAGATATTAAAAAAGCTAATTTTCTCAAATTTTGAATGACCTTGACCTTTGACCTTCACAAAAATTTCAAGGTCAGAGGTCACAAAATCTAATGCAGTTGGTCCCATGTCTTTACGACTTATCGTTTAGAGAATTTTGTCATTATTCGTAAACATCAAAAACTCTCAGGGGCAGTAATTTATTAAAGGGCTCGACAAATCATTTCGCAATGAAAAGATTGAAAAGTCCTCTCGAGTAGTCGAAAACATTGGTGAAGGTTCTGTATCTCTACGGTTTATGGTTTCGAAGGAGTAGCGATAACAGGCTATTCTTGCGAAAGGGGCAAGAACTCCGAAAGGGGTCATAGGTCATACTCGTTGGGTAGTTTTTCGAAATAACTTTTGTTGTCGAGTATCATGAACTATAAAGTTTTTCGATAAGTCTTTCGGTTCAAAAGTCCGTAACGGAAAAATAATAATAATAATAAACATAAGCATTTCAAGAGGTCTTTCCACAGAAAGGTGGAAAGACCTAATAAACAGAAGAAAATCAATAGGTCTTTCCACAGAAAGGTGGAAAGACCTAATAATAATAATACTAGTAGACTAATTGTTCTCGAACAATTAGAGGTCTTTCCACCTTCTTTAAATTTCATATATTTTTCATATTTTACTCTATAAAGTTAATTTTTATACAAAAAGAATCCATAAATGGCTTGAGAGATGGAAAAAATGAAAATTTTAAAATTTTTGAAATGACCTTGACCTTTGACCCTGAACAAATATTCAAGGTCAAAGGTGAAGGGTCACATTGCATTTGACTCCATGCTTCTACGACTTTTAGTTTTAAAGTTATAAGGTTTAATAGTTATCACAAAGACGTTAAGGGGTGATAACTCATATAAGGGGTCATCGGATACTTTCGCACTGAATAGATTGAAGTTGTGTCTAAGGACCCTGAAGACATTAGTGAAGGTTTTGTGTCTCTATGGTTTACGGTTTCGGAGGAGTAGCGATAACAAAGTTTTCAGTAAAAGGGGCAATAACTTTTAAAGGGGTAAATCTTAGGGAACAAGTATGAAATCTTTGAAATAGTTTTAAGAGGACATATTAATGATGCAAAGATATTTAGTATATGTTGAAAGACAAAAGAGATATAAAAAGAGCTTTATTTCTCATATTTTGAATGACCTTGACCTTTGACCTTTGCATATATTTTAAGGTCATAGGTCAATGAATCTTATGCAGTTGGTTCCATGTCTCTACGACTTATTGTTTTAAAAATTTTAAATTATTTCTAAAAATCAAAAACTTGGAGGGGCAATAACTCCTTGAAGGGGTCGACGAATACTTTCGCAATGAATAGATTGAAGAGTCCCCTAAATAAGTCGAGGACATTGGTGAAGGTTTCGAATCTCTACGGTTTACGGTTTCAAAGGAGTAGCGATAACAAGCTTTTATTGCGAAAGGGGATGTAACTCCTCAAGGGGTCAAAGTTCATATACGCAGGGTCAACTGCAAAAATCTTTTACGGAGTACATTCTCATGAACTATAAATCTTTTCGATAAATCTTGAAACTCAAAATCTTGCGGCGGAAAAATAAGAAGAAGAATAACTAGTAGACTAATTGTTCTCGAACAATTAGAGGTCTTTCCACCTTCTTTAAATTTCATATATTCTTCATATTTAACTCTCTAAAGTTAATTTTTATACAAAAAGAATCCATAAATGGCTTGAAAGATAGAAAATATGAAAATTTTAAAAATTTTGAAATGACCTTGACCTTTGACCTTGAAAATTTTCAAGTTCAAAGGTCAGGGGTCACATTGCACTTGACCCCATGCTTCTATGACTTTTAGTTTTAAAGTTATAAGGTTTAATAGTAAGCACAACGACGTTAAAGGGCGATAACTCATATAAGGGGTCATCGGATACTTTCGCACTGAATAGATTGAAGTTGTGTCTAAAGACCCTGAAGACGTTAGTGAAGGTTTTGTGTCTCTACGGTTTATGGTTTCGGAGGAGTAGCGATAACAATGTTTTCAGTAAAAGGGGCAATAACTTTTAAAGGGGTCAATCTTAGGGGACAAGTATGAAATCTTTGAAATAGTTTTAAGAGGACATATTAATGATGTAAAGATATTTAGGATATGTTGAAAGACAAAAGAGATATAAAAAGAGCTTAATTTCTCATATTTTGAATGACCTTGACCTTTGACCTTTGCATATATTTTAAGGTCAAAGGTCAATGAATCTTATGCAGTTGGTCCCATGTCTCTACGACTTATCGTTTTGAAAATTTTTAATTATTCGTAAGTTTCATAAACTTTCAGGGGCAATAACTCATAAAAGGGGTTGACGAATACTTTCGCAATGAAAAGATTGAAGAGTCCCCTCAATTAGTCGAAGACATTGGTGAAGGTTCCGTACCTCTACGGTTTACGGTTTCAAAGGAGTAGCGATAACAAGCTATTCTTGCGAAAGGGGCAATAACTTTGTAAGAGGTCATAGGTCAAACACGGGGGGTCGTTTTTCGGAATAACTTTTGATATCCAGTATTATGAACTATAAAGTTTTTTGATAAGTCTTGCGGTTTCAAAAGTCCGGGAAGAAAAAGAAGAAGAATAATAATAATAATAAACATAAGCATTTCAAGAGGTCTTTCCACAGAAAGGTGGAAAGACCTAATAAGAAACAGAAGAAAACCAATAGGTCTTTCCACAGAAAGGTGGAAAGACCTAATAATAATAATAATAATAATAATAAACAGAAGAATATCAATAGGTCTTTCCACAGAAAGGTGGAAAGACCTAATAAACAGAACAATTTCAATAGGACTTTCCACAGAAAGGTGGAAAGCCCTAATAAGATGAAAGAGACATCAAAAGCACTGACTTTTTCATGTTTTGAATGACCTTGACCTTTGACCTTGACCTAAATTTCAAGGTCAAAGTCCCTAAAGTAGTCGAAGACGCTGTCGAAGGATTCGCATCTCTACGGTCAATGGTTTCGGAGGAGTAGCGATAACAAGGTTTTTCGCACAAGGGGCCAGAACTTTTTAATGCGTCAGGCTTAGGGGTTGAAAAGTGAAATCTGAAAATAGTTTTAAAAGGACATATGATGTATTTAATGTTATGTAATATATGTTGTAAGACAAAAGAGATATAAAAAGAGCTATATTTCTCATATTTAGAGTGACCTTGACCTTTGACCTTGAACAGATTTTGAAGGTCAGATGATGAAGAATCCAATGCAGTTGGTTTCGTGTCTCTACGATTAATCGGTTTCATTATTTTCATTATACGTAAAAGAACAAAAACTTTCAGGGGGCAATAACTCATCATTGTGCTCCAACTATCATTTCACAATGAAAGATTGAAAAGTCTTCTCAAGTAGTCGAAGACATCGGTGAAGGTTTCGTAACTCTAGGGTTTACGGTTTCAGAGGAGTAGCGATAACAAGCTTTTATTGCGAAAGGGTTCTTAACTCTTTGAGGGGTCAAAGTTCATATACGCAGGGTCAACTGCAAAAATCTTTTACGGAGTACATTCTTATGAACTATAAATCTTTTCGATAGATCTTGAAACTCAAAATCACACGGCGGAAAAATAATAAAAAATAATAATAATAATAAGAAACAGAAGAATATCAATAGGTCTTTCCACAGAAAGGTGGAAAGACCTAATAATAATAATAATAATAATAAACAGAAGAATACCAATAGGTCTTTCCACAGAAAGGTGGAAAGACCTAATAATAAACGGAAGCATTTCAAGAGGTCTTTCCACAGAAAGGTGGAAAGACCTAATAAAAAGAAACAATACAAACACTATAAGTCTTCCGTTGTGAACGGAAGACTTAATAAGAAACAGAGTAAAAACAATATGTTCCCAAACTTCGTTTGGGGAACATAATAAGTACTCTCCAACCTGGGAGTGTGTAAGATATCAATGTAAATCGTCATGATTTTCCGGATAATAGTGCATGATGAACAAAAATTGAGAAGTTGTTCAACTGGTAAGAAATTGTTTTGAATATGCTACAGCTGCAAATGATACAAAGATAATTTTTTCTCCTTTTTGAATCGCGCTGTGCAGCATAGCCTACTCTGCAGAAATCATCGGCATCATCACATGAAAAAGATCCAGGCTATCAGCACGTGGTTTATTTTGAGATCGGAATATAAAAAAGCCTGATCTCCCTTTTAGCTTTGAATATCTTTTGCTTTCTTTGATGCTTAATTGTGAAAGTACTTTTTGAACTGCAATTTTGTTAGCGGCCGATTTGATACTTTGCATCAATTTTACTTGTTATAGAATTTTAAAGATTTTGCCCACTTATTTCTGCCATACAAGTTTAAAATTGGTTGTACAAAGAGGAAATATCTCCAATACCAATGGGAAATAACTCTTGCTAAATTCAGGCCTATCGAAAGCTATCTATATAAAGTGAATTGAGAAAGAGTATCCTACTTACTTGTCTGATAAGAAAAGTATTGTAAATGACAGCCAATAGTCATGCAGCTTATCACGTGCTTTACGTCAACGATCGTATTGTCTTTCAATATCAGAATCGCCATTTTACCATTTTCAACATAATTTTTCAAATGTTCAATGGCATTGTTTGTTTTGGTATTATCTTTCGTTTTCGAGTAAAGGTGGATACGAATTGTAATGGATTTGCCCTTATTGACCGTTTCCGGAGCAACTGATTCGTAGGACAGGCCAGATTCCTCCCAACTAAACGACTTGGCCAGAGCTTCACCAATTTCAATAGCCAGTGTGTCCTTGTCCTTTTCAGTGTTATTATTCACGTAGAATATAAGTAATTTCGCCCAGTGAGGTACAAAATTTTCATAATTGCAAGACACTAAACTTGTAATGCTGGATAGTGCATCAAGCTTGAAGCGATCGGGAAATGACAAGTCACAATATCGATATTTAGAATGTAATTCTTTATAGTAACATGTGGTAGTCAACCAATGTATCATTGATTCCATTTTCTCACATTCGCTTAACACTTGTGGATATAGGATGTAAATTAAATTTCTCTGTATACATAATTTCACACTGTCTGCCCAACTCTGTCCTAAAAGAGACAATTTTTTAGAGGCTTTTTCCAATCTAATACATTCTTTCTCTGCTTCTGAAATCGATTGACAGTTATTTTTCTTCCTCAAGCATGTTGAATACCAAGAGCAGTCTTTTGTTGGAAAATAACATTTTTTATCAAGTATTGAATTCTTTTCTGCAAAATGATAAATCGGATCACATTGGCATGCCGACAGACCCCCGTAACTGGGTTCTGAAGTACACAAATACCAGCAAAACTCTGTATTTTCCTCCCGACATGTCACGTGTTTAGTTATAGAGGTTATCGTCTTTTTTGGTAAACAAACAGCGGCCTGGTGCTTTGAATATAGTGGTGAATGAATGCATCCTGTCAGCCCCGGAGGTCCCTTCGTTCTGTCACACTCTGAAGAAACCACAACTAAAACAAGTTGAAAGCACAAAATCTGTAAAAGCAAACTAGCACTCATGATGTGTCTTCTCTTGACGTCGAGTTAGAGTTGAAATAAATTTCACTTCCTAGTAATGTGTTAGTCATTCCTCTGCCTTCAATAATAAGTGACATTTAGAGGCTACTTGAGTTTTAGATTTACACTTGATGTTGTCAGTCTATTCACGAGGAGATACCTAGTTAAAAAATATTAGACTACATTAGAACATGTGGAAAACGTTGAAAGATGGGTTTTCAGAAATACTTAAATATTATGACCTTTGAATAGAAAAAAAATTGTTGGGTTTTGCAGCAATGCTTTACAGCTTTATTAGGGTTTTGTTTTTTTCTTTTAACAATTTTTGGAAATGTAATATCATTTACATTTTTGTTTTACATTATTACATATTGGCGCATTTTGTTGTAAGTGACAATATGTGCTCCTAATATCGCAAATTTTATGGGCAAGAGTATACATGTACTTTAAACATTATTTTCTAGAGTCAGAGAGAGAGAGGGGGGATCACAAATATTTCCCAAAATCATTTGCATTAAAACGTTTAACTTTAACACTTTTTACAGCCATTCCCAACGATAAATCAATGTCCAGACTTTTTGACACTATAGACAGCTGAAATAAAATCCAAACAACGTTGTAAAAATGGTTGCAACGATCGGAGCATTTTTACAACGTTGTTTGGAGGTTTTGATTGTGACGTCACAATTCTGCTGCACACACACTGATCCTACGATGAATACATATTGGCATATTTCACAAAAAATACATTTTTGGCAAGCTAACCACAAACTTTATAATAAACGTGATGATATCAACTTCTCAATCGTCGCCCTCCAGTATTTACTTTGAAATCATTAATTCTAGAGGGGGTGATTAATTTTCGTTGACAGATTATCAGAGAAACAAATGTAAATGCAATGCTAAATACATAAATCATCCCGGATTATGGGCGTGCGCAGACCGCCTTATACATCCTCATAATATTATTACTATGAAAGGTTTTCATTTAAAATTTTACTATTTAAATGAAAATTTGATAAATAATATTCAGGCAAAATTTGGTGCGATATGGTTGATTTAATACAAAGATATGGACATTGTCTACGACTTTTTGGAACAACCCTCATATTTAACCCCACCCCACCCCTGACAAATTCTTCCTTGTTTATACCATCCAAAAATGACAAGATTAGTTTATATTAAGCTCTGCATGTTTCCATTCATTTCTTAGACTTGAAATATATCTTTGAATATAAATATTAAGAAAATTGTTATCTCTTAGGTTCACGTCAAATAGCCTACTGTACGTGGAAAACTGCCGGTCATGCCGGCAAGACTGGCTTAATTTCGCCGTGACCTACATAAATTGGTTAAATGTCGGACCGCATGACTGATGTTGATTGCCCCGTCTGATGAAAAAAATGCATAGTGCAATCGCGTAAAAGTTGTCTTTTCTTGTAGTACACTTTGGTAATCCTCGGATGACTTCCGTACACAATGCGATATTCTATAATTCAAGGTTGAAGGTACGCGAGGATCTACGAGTGAAACTGTCTGGTCCTCTGTCTCAACATAATGAAACAGAGAACCAGGCAAACTGAATCGCACTAAACATGGCGTCATGGCCGACTAAGTTTACTTCTGGTGCAAAACCAGGACAAGCTCTGAAAAGAAAAGGTGACGCGGACAAGACTACGAAAAAAAAAGAACAGTGCCACATTTAACCACTTTTTTCAAGATATTATATAACTTTTAATATTATATGGTGGGATTTTGTACTCTCATGATATTTACCAAATATGATACCTCTATCTTGTATAATGTGGGAGATATAACACCTGAAAACAAAAATCCTATGGGATTTTGGTTGGATATCTTATAATACTTGATATCCCATCATAATCCTATAGGATATTTAAAATCCCATAGGATATTGTCTCACAAAGAATATTTTGTCCTATTTCTGAACTGATTTGGGATATTTTGTCCCATATATTAAGAATTAGGAGAAAATGTTCCATTTTTTATTTCTGTCAGAAAAAAGAGATTTTAAAGAAGATTGGAAAGATTGAAGAGATTGGTTAAAATTTGACGGAGAAAAAAAGTCGTGTAACATCTGCATCAAGTATATTGGGTAGGCGATTGTAGGAATGTTCGAAATTCTGTAACTGGATCAACAAATTTTCGATACTCAGGAATAATTAACCACGAAAAATCGCGATATCATCGTAAGGCAGTCGAGCGGTTTTATGCAAACGAGGATGTGCGTGAAAACAAGCACACAAAGCTTTAGTGGCCTACTAGTTTCACTTCTCAAGAAAAATTATGTTGAAATTTTGGAAGTGCACTGTTTGGCCCAAAGACTTGAGCTTGCCTTTAGAGATGCCCTTAATGGAATCGTCAAAACACTCAGCTTTCTTCACTCCTCTTAGGGCTTTACTATTTCTACAAAACAGTGCTAAACAGAGAAAGAATTTAAGAGAATGTATGAAGGTAAGATATATGATAATGTTAATGTCATCATTAAATTAGCCAAGCTAAAATCAATAAGTTCTATGAAAGAATTGTAATTTTTACACATTAATATGTCCATTTTATTTTCAGGCATTGGGTCTTAAGGGTACTCTACCTCACCGGGTGAATGGAAACATGTAGCTCCCACACATGCAGCTTGCTCTAGAAACTTTTTAGGTATTACCAAGCCTTTGTTGGCCAACCCCAGGACACCTCCCTTTCAAATCCAAAGGCATCTGGACAGGCAAAACTACTTGTGTCTTCTTCTTCTGCTGTTCTCTTGCAGGTAATTTACAATATAAACCTTATTGTTTAGTACCCAAAAGTCTTAATTCATTGATTCAAATTAAAAAAAAATAATGTTATTTAAAGTGTTTCTGCTATAAGTAATCATTCTTTCAAAAACAATATGAAGGAAATTATCAGTCCATTAGTGAGATTGTCTCTCACTTTCCAAAGACAGGACTTGACAATTGAGGATGCTAAGATAGTAATTGCTGGAACAGATTTTCTCAAACAGTATGATGCCATGTATAAGTTAAACATTTTCTATTGATTATACGATAATTAATTAGTTGTACAAGATGTGAACATAAACAAGAAAAGTTAAATAACCATGATTACATTAGTTATATTTATTTTATTTTGCAACAGTTACAGGTTGAAGAAAATTGTGGAGGAAAAGGAATATGCAGGGTATCAATGAAATATATGGTAACAACGAACAGTATTCAAGCTCAAAAGTCTATTTAACAATACCAATTTTGGAGAAGAGCAAACATGGACCTCTAAAACATCAGAGGTGGGATCAGGTGCCATGGAGGAGTAAGCATACCCTGCCGAACGGTCACACCCACCGTGTGCTCCTTGTCATGATCGGGAAATAATGGCAAAATCCGTCGACAATTCAGTGTGTAAATAATGGCCTAACAATTAGTATGAAAAACGTCAGTCAGCATTTGACTTAATGATAGATTGTATTTGCTGACAAGGTCATTGTATTGACAATAAAACTTACGAAATGATGACTTTAAACGAGACTACTGATATTCTTGTTTCAATTTGTTTGTCAATAACCTACCTCGTTTTTGAAATTGGACATACGTAGAGCATGCTCTTGCGTATCGAATCAACTGAAAGATATAAACCCCGTATGCAGGTGATGAAGGTTTATTGCTGCATAAGTAAGGGAAGTTGACGATTGAAAAGTTGAAAAGTCATCACGTTTATCATAAAGGTTGGTTGTTAGATTAACATTAACGTCTTTGTCTAGTAAAATATCCATATACGAAACAGATGTGTCAGACTCTGGCATTTTTTATTTCAAGCTCACTAGGATATATCGTATCGACATAAGAATGAAAAAAAACCATTGTTAATTGACAATACGTCGTCGATATATCTAAATATCGATTTGAAGGCCACAGCAAGTGTTTTCTTCTTTTCACGTATAGGATTTTGAACAAACTCTGCCTCATATGAATACAAAAATAGGTCTGCTTATAACGAGGCGCAATTGGTACCCATGGGAATTCCAATAGATTGTTGAAATACCTGGTCTCCAAAAACCACATAGATATTGTCAATGAGAAACTCAAGCATCTTTTAATATCAACTTGTGTGTACAATCAGAATGTTTTTAACAAAATAATTTTGCAAACGACCAATGACAAGGTAAGTAATTTATAAGTTCCATTCTTATTGATAAAGCAGCTGTCAATGATGTCAAATAGCCTGGAATTTAATTTATTGTGGGGAATGGTTGCAAATAAAGTTGAAAAGTCGTAATTAAGTTTTTATGCTATTGATTTGGGTAAAATTTTGCGATTTCAAATGTTTTAAAAATTCCTTGAAATTTTTAAGTATCCACTTCTGAGTTACACCACTTCTCGAATATATTGTTGCACAGTACTTCTGAAGGTTTTCCATCACTACTGTTAATATTTTAGTGAGGAGTAAAGAAAGAGGCTTGGTAGAACATTTACTGGAATCCGCTATGTATCTTTGTAAGGATTTTTATGAAGTTTCGGAATCCAATATAGATATGGTAATTCAAATTCATTTTAGTTGTTGAGAATATTAAAGATATCCAAAACTGACATATGATTTCGAAGAATTTCTTCCTTAGAAAGGGAGCTATGGGTATAAGTTGAATTACCGCTTGTAGAATTAAATCCCAGTTCCTCTAAATTACAATTTAAATAATGAGACTTACAAACAAAGATAATGTTGTTACCAGCACATACTGATCGTGTAATCTATCTAATTCTTTTTTTCACTTCTGAATTATTGAATACAGAAAGATAGTTGGTTTTCATTTTGCCCCTCAATCGTTTAATGCGAGATCCGATACTATTAATCCATTCTGACAACGTGTCAAGGTCTTCTTCTTCATGTCTGGCCCATCGCCTGGCGTTATCTTCCACAGAATCCATAATGTTTATGAAATTATGACGGCAGTTAAAGATCGGGGTTCCCTAAATTTTGGCACTTTTAAAATAATTGATT